AAAAAAATTCCCAAGTTAAATTTAGAAATAATGAAAGATGTTGACAAAGAAAGCGAGACAGATGCTGAAACAAATCTGGATTTGTACAGCTTGTACAGATTTGTGATCTAAGCTTAAAAGGAACATTGTATTCTGATTCTCGGCTCAGCTATTTTTTACTTTAGAACCGTGAAGCTTTGCACAATTAAAAAGCACGTCATTTCATAATGCCTGCTCTATAGCCCCTTAGTTGAGCCATTGCCTGAAACAGCAGTAACATTAGCTCCAGTAAGTGTCTTTAAACATCCCGTCCTCCCTAGAAGCCCACTTCCTACTGAGTGTCCAGCTTCCAGAAGCCAAGTAAAGGGCAGCTCAGTGCTTATGAGCACCACCTCCCCCTCTCGAAGACCAAACTGTAAACCTATTATCATATTTTTCCTCATTGTTTAATCATAAATTAAAGACATCACCTTTAATGAGGTATCCATACAGATATATTTTCTTATTGTTTAAACTTTGAAGTCAAATAAGTTCAGTTATGGCTTTGGTTACTAGATTTCAATCATGTTGATGTTGACTTAACTTTACCTATGTAAAAAATACACATATATATATGTTGGATCTAATTGCCCTAGGCAAAATGAAAATGACACTGTTCACAATATTTAGTCGTGACTCTAGTAAAAGATATTTTTTGGACTTTTAAAAGGACTGCACACAATCAAAGCTACTAATTTCTCTAAGCCACTGACCACAGGAGAACCTTTTCCAAGACCTCAACACAGCAGATGCTATCAGAAATCGGAGACCCGAAGGCAAACCTGAGCCCTATCTGGTCCTGCAGCACAAGGACCAGACCGGCTTCAGGGTGCCCAAAAAAAGGAATATTATTGCCTTACAATGATGTGTATTTTAGTGCATACTAACCCTCTCTATGGATTTACAGATGTGTCAAGAATTCATGCTAACATTTATTGTAAATCACCAAACCGCTGAAGGGTGACTTGTGATAATATTCAACACAAACACACCACCAGTGTGGACAATTCATCAATGTTCTGTAAGTCTTTACTGGCAACCAAACATTGTTCCAAGCTATAAACTCACATGGAACAGATTTATTACACTAATACACAGAGTTGATATTGGACATCTAAGCTCTGAAATTCAGAGCAGCTGAGCTGTGGGAGTGATGATAGCACGTCTCTGAAGACCACATTAGAAACAGAGTCTGACTTTAGTCATTATGTGAAGCGTTTGGGGCCATTACCCTGCACGAGACCACAGATGGAATTAGGCTGCCAAGTAAGCACCTTGTGTGCATGAGCCATGCTAATGGCCTCTGTGGTCAGCTCTAAACAAAACACCTTCAACATACAACCTAGTCCAGAGAAACTGGGCAATGAGTGCAGCAGAAGGTTGCAAGCGTCATCGTTGGATTAAATTCAATTTCATTTTCACTAATAACTGGCTAATAACTACATCCAAGTTTACAGCAGTGACCCAGACTTGGAGGGAGCTATGGGAGACCCTCTCCACCGCAGGAGGCATCCAAAACCAATTCATCCATTAACACTGCCATTATTTTTCTCTAAATCTGAATCAAAAGCACGAAAAAAAATCATCAGTAAAAGCACCAAGAAAGACAATTCAACCATGAGGTCAACAGAATAAGAGAAGAGGTTAGCAGGTTAGCATTGTAGTAGAAAGTAAATTAGGATTGGGTTGCAGGAGAAGATATTAGCCACGAGCATATAAAAGGTTATCAACCAAAAAATAAGCAGTTTTAGCAGATATTATCAGGCAGCTCCGAAAAAACAGACAAGCAATCAAAAACAAAAAAACAAAACAAAACAAAATGCAGGTGAGCAGCCTAACAGCTCAGTGCTGCACTAACAAGCTAGCATGTTCACGCAACATCCTAATGCCCATCTTACATATATGGAATAATTTGAAGTTAAACGTGTAAAACCAACAGGTCACATAAGTCGAAAAGATTCATGTTCCAGAGACGCTGAACATGTCAGACAAATCTTAGCACTAGAGGTCTGTGGTGTAGACCACAGAGTTCATGGAACCTGACCAAAAGCCTTACTCCAACCCTGCTTCAGCTTCGACTGCAAAGGCAGTAGCAACAGGTAGCAGAGTTAGCATGTATTAGACTAAAAAGCTAGCAGGCTACTTAGCTTTGTGGAGGGAAACATTAGCTTTTGTAGTTTCCGAATGTCAGCGGATGAAAGAAAACTGTGTTAAAGTGGCCAAGAGCCAAACTGAATAGTTGTATCAAGAACAAATGTGCATCAAGCACAAATGTGAGAAACCTTTCTCCTGTTATAAATTATACTTTGCTCTTTCTTTCTTTCTTTCTTTCTGAGTCACTCCCTTTACAGATCAGATTAAAACAGGCTGTAAAAAGCAGCAAACATCACAAGATCGTTTGTGACAAAATTCTTTTATTTTCACACTGTATTTGTTTAACTTTTTAAGTCACATAGGAGATATTGAGAAATAAAAGTGGCAAAAGTGATCTTTCTCCATCTTTATTATTATTATTATTGAAAATATATTTATGGCCCAAAGGTGTAGTGATTCTTGTTGTGTTTGTCTGACATTTTGACATGTTTGCTTATTTTATTTATATGATATTAGATTTGTACACACCGATCAGCCACAGCATTAATATATCAATAGCACTGGATATCATGTTGCAATACTAATGTTCTTCCTGAAAAACTTTGAGGTCTGGATTTTATTTTAAAATTCAGTACCTGTTCCTCCCATCCCAGCAAGCCTTACAAACGTGGTATTTATTCTTCCACATTTCAGAGCTGTTTTAGCAGTGCAGGAAGAACATCAACAATTAGATAGAGTTTCATTTTGAAGCTGATCAGTATATACCTTTGGACTTCAGTATCTGATGTTGTTGAATACACGTATATATGCTCATGAAGTGCTTTGATTTATCCTGCAAATTCATTATCCTATAATGTGAGAATTGTTAGTGGAAATAGTCTTTGTTTAAACAAACAGTTCTTTTTTACTTATTGACACTTTCATTTTTCATTTATTACATACACAAATCTACTTTTCATTTCTGTAATTAAGCACCAAGTTTAATAGACTGATTACTTCAAGTGTCCCATCATTCCCCACATTCACTCCGCATCTCTTCCATATGAATTATTCAGTCCTTGAGACCTCCATTGGTTTGGTTAATCAGTCAGATTTATCAATGCTACATAAGAAGTGCAATATCTCAGTCTGCTCTGTCAGAGCTAAGTATGTCAAATATGACTAATATCCAGTCACTTTGTATCTAACGCAGGCTTTCGGGCTTGAGGGACACCAGGCCCACCCAAAAGTCTATGTCTCATTTCCTCAGGGCTCACTTTCCTTAGCCTCATGTTTCTTAGTAGTAATGCACTCTTCCAATAGTTCCCGTTCCTGTCCCCAGGATATCTGGCTGGCCGTTCCTCCAGATCTCTCGGATGATGCGTTCCCTCTCCTCCAGTCGCTGTGCACGCTCCAGCTCTTCGGCTGAAGTAAACACATTCACGCTCAGTGTCCCATCCGACTGGCTGGTGTGATTGCCAACAGAGATTTCTGTGGTGGGCAACGGAACAGTCGCCTCTACATCGTCCACTTCTTCATCTTCATCATCGTCATCACTGTCCTCATCCTCCTCGTTGATGTCCTTTAAGTTTTTTTTCTCAGGAGTGGAGGGGGTAATGGTAGTGCGTGGCTTGCAGGAGATCCGAATCACCAGTAGGCAGAGTGTGAGTATCAAGCCAAAACACACTCCAAGCACAAAGTAAAGGCCAAAACTCTCTGGATTTGCTAAAGAAGGGACAAAAACAAACTGCATTAGATACTTTAGATAGATTTAAATGTTGTTAAAAAATGAGAGGCAAATTCACACTGTGGCTTACCTTTGATGTGTGCATAGGCAGCAATGCTGTTACTTAGGAGGTCCATTTCCTTTTTCTTCACATCCATGGTGACTCGGTTTTCTTCTTTTACACCTGTAGCAGACATTTGACACACAATATTTAATCTGACTGCTATAAGATACAAGACACTTAATCAATCAGTTCTCTTCCAGGTGCTTAAAGTCGCTTTTGAAATATCTGCCAGACTTCTTTTCCTCCAGGTTTATATTCTGTGCAGCGCCGGGATGTCAAACCCACTGACCACAACATTCTTCATATGCCTGGTGGGTGGGATGAGGCCTTCGAGTCCCCAACAAAAGCCCCTTTGTGTCACTATTAACTACTAGCTTGATGTGGGATCATCATAATGCATTTGGCACATGGCACTTTGCCTCAGCCATTCTCTCTGAACCATGACAACCCTATATAAATGAGGTCAAGAGTCAATTTCCCAAGTAGCCACAACGGGCTCCTTCGTGTCAGAAGGGACTGTCAGATCGATTTGTAAAGCTCAGAGGAAGCAGCCAGTGCACGGTTGACATTTTTCTAATGTTTAGCCATTGTTTCCTTGACATTTAAGCTGCCTTATCCTCCCATATCCTGTCAGTCAAATGAACTTTGTTGTGCTTCTTCCGCTGCTATGTGCAGCCATAACTTCTGTCACTACCCAAGGATGGCATCATAGAGCTGCACCAAGTTACATAAAAGAGTGCTGGTGACAACAGAAAAAAGACCAGTTCAGAATAACACACATACACACGTTAGCACCATCCCTCTTTAGCATGTGCTTTGTGTTGTGGCTGACTGTGGAAAAAAAACCATTCTGTTCACGAGATATGATGACGAGCGCTGCAACCATCTCACTCTAACCTGTGTGCGCTCTTCTCTAAGTTAAACCACATGTCACTGTGCCTATAGAGATCATATGGACTCGTTCATATTGCACAAACCACATGTTTATGTTTCCATTTACCTCTAAATTGCACCCAGTGATAATCTCAATGTCTGATCTCTATCATGATGTGACTACCTCAATAATTTATTTAGCATGTGTGCTTACTTGTTGATGGAACTTTTAGTAAAATTCAAGCATGAAACCACACATGTGTAAACCATATGTAATATGGCCCACTAATGAACTTTAAAACACAGCAAACATTCTCTTGTAAAAGTAGAAGTAAACAGAAAGGGGAGTGCAGATAAAGTAGAAAACTTACCACAAAAATGAAACTGTGGAGCTTCAGTTCCAGTTCATATTGTTCTGAGAAGTTGGAGAACAGATGCAAAATTATCACGCTCCTCTTTTCTCTCTGCTGTTGGATCACGGCTTGTGATCTTTGGTCTTCAGGCTAAATAGTTGATTTGGCCACCCTGAAAAAAAGAGCAAATACACACACAGACATGTCAAGCTATGTTAGAGCCAAACTCAGTGAGGCGTCTGCAATGCAAACAAAGACAGACCTATTGCAGGTTACGTGGTCCAGCAGGACACCAGAGGCAGACTTTTTGCATTTTTTAGTGCTTAAGTTGTTCCAACACAGAAAAAAAAAACACAGGTATGGCCAAGTTGTGCATATTAGTGTCATAAAAGCAACATGAAAAGTAACTTTATTTATTTATTTTTTGCTAAAAGAAAAAGTAAAATTTTTTTTGATGTCTTTAAATACATTTGATTAGATCTTGGGAACTAAATTATTTTGTGATATGAACTTAGTGGGACTTTGTTCTATGACTTGAAGATACTCCACATTTAGACTTTTATGCATAGAAAGCTGGGAACAACATCAGATCCAATTACAAAGATACTAGCAAAATGAGTACTGACAGCTAAAAAATCCCCAAAAACATAGGGTCCCCTTCTGGCTCTGTAGGGAAAAAACACCTATTAGATGTAAAGCTGTCATCAATAGTAAAATACAAGTGAGGTGTTTCCACTCTCCAGCCACAGGGACCTGTAATGCTGCTCTCTCATTGCAGCATTGTGCAAGGATGACAAAACAGAACATTTTGAACTTTGAACAAGTGACACGAACTTGAGATTTTTCTTTTTGTTTCTAGCACCTTGAACAATAACAATCAATTTTCTATACTTACTAAAAGCCCTATAACATCCTGGGGGTTTTGCGGTTTACATGCCAGGTGCAGAGCTGAGTGCTGTGAAAATGCTGAGCTGTGGAGTTTTTTGACTTGCACCCCTGTTTAGGAAAAAAGATCCTCTGCCAGCAGCAGTTGGTTTAGCAGAGCCTCTGAGCTTTCCAGGGCAGATTTTGATCTTGCTGACTCTTGGCAGATCCTATGCACTCTACACAGTGCCTAACTGAAACAGCACTTGGGGGGGGGGGGGGGGGGGGCAAGTGACAGAGCGGCCGCTGTGGGAGCATGCTTTCCAGGCTGACCACCTTGAGCCGTACAGGAGGCAGCTGCTCCACGATGCAGTGATAGACCCGTGCACTGTCTTCCAAACAAACTTCCTCTCTTTATAAAAAGTAGATAAACAAATAATGAGCAGATTCATTTCCGATCTCCTGCTGAGGCGAATCCCACTGGATGATAGAATCCACATAATGGAATCTATCATCATTATCCAAGCCGAGCAGAAAAGCACAGACTTTAAATGAAATATTTTGTTTTTGTCCCAGGGGTAATAAAGTAAACGGCTCGGATGACTACAGTCTTTTTAAGCCAAGGTCAAAGCTAATGATTGGGTACCTACAGAACATTAACTGACCTCTACTCACACCGCTATGCAGCAAAACTGAGCTTTAGGATCTTGGCATCTGTTACTGGTGGCTAATGATAACTGGAGAGCTGTTTAAAACCTATTTAAACACTAATTATCCTGGCTTGTTGTTTTGTTGTGTGTTTGTTTTAGTCAAACAAGGAAATTATTAACAGACCTGCTCCTCTGCAGCAGCATGCACTGTATCATGACTCAGTTCTCAGTCATGTTCTCAAAGTGACCCAATCTGTTTTTCTTTTGCAGGTTTTGCACAACCCGAAAGCTTTAAAAAGGAGACCTTCATTATAAGAAAACAGTCATGCTTTGGGGACTTGATGTATCATTTCTTTCCATCATGTTTTACTTAAACAGTTATTAAATTTTTAACTGTCTGGAAAATATTGTGACCCTACTCATCTGGTTCGAGGTGCAGAAAGAGGCATTTCTTTTGAAATTCTACCTTTTTTGGCCCTGTTAAGGTCCAAAAAAGGCAGAATTTCTGAGGGTCTCATACCCTCAGGTCAAAGACTTAGGCTCACCCCGTCTGAGGTCTTCTTCATGTCTCTGAATATTAAATAGTCACTCAAATCATCATCCTGACATTATTTTCTTTTTTTTCTGTGCGAAACACACAGTCTATATTTTATGTCCTGTTATATCAAAACAGCTATTATTCCAGTAACAAATGGAAAGGGCATCAACTAAATTACCATTCATCTCTGTGCATGTGTGTGTGTGTCACTCAGCAGTGAGCTGTTTGTGTCAGATCACTGCAGAAGCCAAGATAAACACATCGTGACGTTGTGGCCTGAGAAGAGGTCAGGCGCTATTTTTGACCCGGCATTGTTTGCTTTGGTTTAGAAGAAATAGCTGAGTGGAGGACCAGCTACAAAATGTTATGCAGTGTGATATTTTTGCTGTTGTGGTGATAACCACAACTGCTCTTCCTTCCCACAAGGTTTATCCCTTTCCACAGAGGCAACATCCAGGGCAAAGCCTTTCCTCTGCTTCATTGTCTTAGATAAGTAGGTTGAGACAGAATAGACTGGGCTGTTTACTGTACACAGATGTCAGCTGAGCAGTTTATCAGGTGGTTCCTTAGATGGGCAGCTTTCCAAGGCAAAGGTCTGTCACAGAATAGACGCACTTTCCCCCTTGGATAGTTCACCAGTTACAGTAGTTTCATAAACCATCCAACCATATTGCTCCTTTTCCACAATGAAAAAGTCAAAGTTGTAACTCTTCAGTGGAATTTACGCGAGGAGTCAAGCCACATTTGATTTATACACAGAACATGAAAAGGTCAGATTACACAAGGAAGCCTGTCTGTGTTATTTCCGCATTGTAATGACACACACACTGAACCACAGAAGAAAATAAATATTTTTAATACCTCCAATTTCTTTGCAGCTGCAATGATTCCTAGCACAACAGACAGTGTGTCTGTGGTTTGCCTGGGATGAAACTTCACAAAATGAAAATGCCCAGATCTACATGCACACACAGACTCTCTCTAGTAGCCAAGATCACAAAAGCTGCTGTTAGGATTTATAGCATCTTTTTTTGGTCTTAATTATGCTCTTATTCTGTAGCTGCCGATAGAAAAAAAAAACCTCTAAATGATTCACAACATCAAACAAACGTATTATTTCCAGCTTTCAGATCTCATTCTGAAACTGTGCAAGTTCCTGTAAAAAGAAAAAAAAAGATTTACTGAATCATAGCTTCGTTTTGGCTCACATGCCAAAGAATGTGAAACTGTATCACAAAAATATCTGCTGGATGTATGTGCACACCATTTATCAGACACCTGTAATCAAGCCAGCGAACCGTCTCCAAGCACTCAAACATAATGGAATTTCAAGTTCTCCGCAAAACAGCAGAAGTGCAGTAGATTACTTTCCACTTGGTAAATAGAAACATTGTCCAAACCAAGATCTCTGTCAACTGTGTCTGTGAAAGCATTCATGGATGTCCACAGGGTGAAGGGTAATTTCTTCTGGAAGTGCCTGTAAGTTTTCTTCAGACGGCGGAGGGTTGCACAGGGCTGCATTTCTGGAGAAAGTAAGAGTACATTTCTTCCAAGTTACTCTTGACACCAACATCTTGGATTTCAAGCTATGATTTCTGTCAGTTCTGCTACCCCGTTGTGAAAGCTTGACAGGAAGGTTGTTCCATTTGGAAACAAAAAATTCATAAGGGTAACATCAGGAAAGATGCAGAAACCCAGGCTGAACATGAGCAGACACAGGTTGGAGAGTTTGAGAGTGTTTGATCAGGCGTAGTATTTATCAGCAAAAAACAATCAAGTAAAGCCAAATTTTTATGCTAGATAACTTTTAGAAAAATATTGAAAGGACAGAGATATGGTATTCTTTAACCATTAATCCAGCTGAGGGTTGTGGGAGGGCTGGAACCTAGCCTAGCTGTCATGGGGCAAGCGACAAGGTACAAACTGCCAAACTATCACGGGGCTAACATCCAAAGACGGACAATCAGTAATGCTCACAGTCACACCAATTTAGTATAACCAGTTAACTTAACAAGCTTGTCTTTGAACTGTAGAAGGAAGCTGGAATACTGAGGGAAGGTGCACTCCACACAGAGGGGTGTAGCTGGCCAGCAGATCTGAACCACTGCTCTTAAAATGCTTCTTAAAAGCCAAACGGTTAGAAAAATGATCAAACAGTTAATAACTAAATCAAGTATTTTTTTAAATTAATGTTATGTTTCTTTCCACCATTTATTTAAACAGAGAGTGGTTAACGTAACTTCTCAGAAAAAGATGTGTTTTAGGAAGAGCTTTAACATGCAAATAAGATAAAAAAAAGCTTTTGGGGCTGACAGTGGAAATGAGAGTTGAAAATATAAAGTATACCTGCTGTCTTGTCCTGGCTCTTTTGTCCATTTAGAATCACACTGATTACAAAAGCAGATGAAGTTTTCGCTGTTATCACAGACCAGCAGGATTTCAAACTTCCCATGAATTTAAGTGCCTGTGGGGCTTCAAACCACATTTGCAGGTGAAGACTATGAGCATCGTCCAAAGCGAATGAGAGGTCCTCGAGTGCAGGTTGTCTCATTACCTCAAGTTTCCAAGGTCAGCATTTATTTCCAGCCTCAGCTCAAGAAAAGTTTGATGAGCACAGTGAAAGCTTTGTCTGCTGATGACTGAAGATTGTTTTGCCAATATGAACATGAAGACTTTCAGTTTTCAAGAACTACTACAAGAACCCAACCACTCCCAGTAGTTTGACAGAACATGATTAAATCATCGAGAAAAAAATTACCCATGTAACATTCACGGTTGGTAAAAACAAACAGAATTTCAATCATATTTGACCCCATTCTGAACTACTCACCCTAGCTACAGCCAGCTGCAAAGACAAACAGCATAGCAAATTTAAAAGTCAGGACATGCCCAGCTTTTATTAAGTTTCCTCTTGAGACTCTTAGAGAGTCTTGAATGTCTTGAATATCTTTTAGTGTTGGATACGATGCTGAAAAAGACCTTTGGTTTTTATGCGTTGATGGCTCTGGGCACTGGGTACTGTATTTTACATAAGCCTAATGAACAACAGCTTTTCTTTCAAGGACAAACCCTTTTCCAGGAGTGAACACAAACTCCCGGCAGTATTGTCAGCCAATTATTTTACAACAGATATTTAGCTTTCAACAACAGTTAGGTTAGGAATTCACTGTCCAACGTGATGGCAGCTAGACTCAGGGCAAAGCATCTCTTGCCCTGATTAATTCCTTTCCATCTTCATGTCATGAAGAAGTGAACCTCAGTGTACTGCTCGCCCTGTGGAGAATATGTTTTGTGGGTTATGGCAGGTAATGGGAGGGTAATAGAGATGCAGGACTGAGCTTGGGGTTAGAGCAAGTGGTTAATAGCACCCAGATGTGTTCCTGATATGAGGGAGAGAGAGAATGCTTTGCTATGTAAATCAGGGAGAGATTTCCCATGCTCCTTCTTAATACTGACGTCATCAAGGTATAAGTCAAATAGCTGATGGCAGTAGGGAATCCAATTTATGACAGCCATTGTGTGTTGTGCTGAAAAGGTTTATTTATATATTTGTGTGTGTACAGTTTTTTCTTATAGGTTGTTTGAGTAATTCCTGGATGTTTAGATCGATTCATTTGAGCGTTCCTCTACAATTCCCTAAATTACTTTGGGCTTTAGATCAGCACAAATTGAAATCTCCAAAAATAGAGACATGATCTCATCGTTTTCATTGATCTTGGCCGTCATCCAGCAAGCAAGCCAGCACCACATACTGTATCAATTACATGGACCCTACGGATTACTCTGTGACACAAAACACGTGTTTGCCCTTTCCATGATTGGGCCCATACAGCTCGCTGTAGGCTATCCACAAATATGTTGCAGTTCCAGTAGATTTGGGGAGTTTCGAAGTGTTGCTCTGGCAGGACTGAGTTTGTGTAGTGAAAGTGAAGGCTGCTTGTATGACCATTTTAGGGGCTGTTGAGGTAGTGGCTCCTACTGACTTCGTTTAGTAACCAGTAGCAATTAGAAAAACAGCACTGTCATCTGTTATGGTTAACTCTTAGATCATGATAGTGTCATATTTTTACAATAGAGATGTGAGGAGGTGCTTAGAGCACAGATCATAGCATAGCTTAAAAATGATAGTTTATAAGATGGCATGGTGCTCTAAAACTAATCCGTTCAATTTTCTGGGTATATTTACAGCAAGACAAAAATAAAAATGTGACATGGCTTTTGCTGACAGTGCTTTTGTTGTCACTTGAGCTAATTTTATGTGTTCTTGTAGGGTGCAAATATTACTTAACATAATAGCCAAGTTATTGTTGATTGTTATATCTGCGGAATAATGCCTTGAGTTTGGGCCTAAATAACATTCATTCAGCTCTTGTCATTGTTTCAAACAGCAAATGTACTAAATATTGCAGCCTAAGCAAAAATATGCCCACCACACATTTATGCATGCTCAAGCACATTTTTTCAACGTGTGTCTTTTCCTGCATGCCCCTCTTCTTCCAGTATGTGTGTGTCCAGCTGCAAATATGTCTCAGCATACATGTATCCAAGATAGGAGTGTAAGCTTAGGTAAACCCACTGGACTTAACATGTCAAACATCCACTGAAATCTAAAGACCAGACTGTCTAGGCCAGTGGGGCTCCCGCTAGAAGACAATAAGCCCTGAGTCCTGGAAGGCATCACCGGCTAGTCGAAGCTTTGCTAAACATAGTTTTGGAGACACCTCATTTATCAAACTCATATTTGTCAGTGACCTAAAATATATATATTTTTTATGTGTTAGCTATCACCTTTTGACCAAGGCCATATAACTGTTAAACAAAACCGCTGTTAAAAGTGCAGTAATTAAATCTGTATACATATATGAGTGTGTTAAAAGGGCGTTAAGGTGAAACCAGCTGCTGCTTGATGAATGACATGGTTTTGGAGCTGTGTTTTTACCTGATGAAAAACTAGACGAGTGATAAACACTCACCATTTTTCCCACATTTTCAACCCTGGTAACAACAGTTAGCGGCTATAATAAAACCACCAGCACTAACAGTTAAAAGGAGAAGGCCTGCTGTTTAAATGGAGCACTTTGTTTTGGGGCTGGGTGTTGTTCAGAGAGATCTGCTGATGATCATCTGATCCTGCATGACTTCATATCCTAGCCTAAATATGCCCCATGAAACAATTATCACAGCATCTTCACTGTAAATAAACCATTTTTTGGCAAAGCATTTTTTTCCCCATGCAGTGGTTATCAAAGGCACTCTGACCTTAGGACAAACATACGCTGTACATCCAGATATGAAACAAACCACTGCAAGTTTAACTTTAAACCCAACTCACCTAAAAAGATGTCAGCGACAATCAATGTGAAATTAAAAAGTGATGCACAAGACAACTAACGTATTTCCATTGCATGGCATGTTTAAGTTGGAACAAGCTGAAAATACTCCTTTCTTTGACATTCCCATCTTTTGTAACTTTTGTTTGGGACAATTTGCAATACTGAGCAACCAACAGTGAACTCCTGATTCAGCATTTTTCCATCTGTCCAAGTTATGTCCAAGGGACATAAGAGGCACACTAAATGCATATGCATTAAGATCTAATTCGCTTAATTCATGCACTGATGGAAAATTACCTCATTGCTCTTACTTCAATTTTTAGTATAATTGTTCTCTCCCAAAGCCAAGAACTGGAAACATGAAGTTTGATGCGGTGGTCTACACATGGGACTTTGAGAATGTTTACTGGGATGCTTTTGTGATAACAATGCATTGTTCACATTTGATAAAACAGCACTGTTGCCCAATTTTGAGTCCTGCTAAATCAGCCAAATGTATGTACACACTATACCTCTGCAGGGCTTCAATAGCATTACATCATTACAGGCTATTTGTTCATGTGTAAACATAAATTACAAAGAGTAACGATAATATATCTAGCTGCCTATATTAGCCCTTCTCTTGCACTGGGTTTGTTTATGAATGCTATCCATTGGGCTAAGTTCTTTTGACTTATCCTGGCTTTGTGTGGATTGAAACTTTCTGCAAACAGATTGGTACCATGGGACTTTAGACAAGCAAATCAAGTCAGAATCTGACCTTTCACCTCTGAGTAAATGGAGAGAGTTACAAACCATCCTCAGGACAGATAAGACAGGCCAACTGACAAGTGAGTCAACTGGGTTTTGGAAAAAGAAAAGTCTGCTAGTATGAATAGCTTGGAGAGGTCATGCAGAAGTCAAGTCTTGATAATCAGGCTCCAAGGGGTCATTTAACCCTGTTACATGCTCTTCCTATGGGAGATTATCTGATTGAATGTGGGAGGCTACAGTGCAAGCAGTCCACTCAGATAGTGTGAATAAAAAGACACTGGAGAGCAGCTCCAGCCTCCACCCATCAGCGCTCTTCTCTCTGATAAGAGGTGCTAACCACAATCATCCAGCAGAAAGCTAGAACTAATGGAAATGAGGCATATGGTCAGCTGCTGTTGACCATGATCTTCTCTTAGTGCTTATGCAAAAAAAAAAAAAAGGAAAAGAAAAACTGACAGATGAATAGAGCCATACGCACCATGTGTGCCCTGCTTTTAAAATTCTCTCACCTCTCTTATTTTACTGTAAGAATCTGCTCTTTTGTGGCCTTAAAAACACAACAAAACAGCAACAGGATGTTTGCTTATATTGAACCTTTTATTAGACAACTATCTAGTGGCTTTAAGTTTAGAAATGATGTGCAGAGGCACAGGAAATCCAGCTCTTCTGTCCTGTCTCAACTGGTGCTGCATCAGCTCTTCTTAGATCTGTTACAAGCTAAAAACACTTTAACTCAGCTCTGATGCACTGACACGGCAGATGAGGATCCAGCTTAGTTCGAGACAGTAGATTGTAGTAGAACAACGTGTTTTTATGTAAAAAAAGATGCCAGGTGCTTAAAAGGTTTGAAGAATGTATTCACACTGCTGTTACTAAAACTCAGTCACTTCACTCAAGCTTCTCTAAACCTTTGAACACAGTTAATCAAAACAGAAACAACTGCAGATAAGCTGCTTTTTCTTGTAAAAACTTACCAGACTCGCTGTGATGAAGACCAGATATCAGACTTTGTAGCACAGGAAGGTTTTCCCAAGACCAAGCATCTCTCTAAACTAAAACAAATTAAATCTCAGGCTCTCTCTAATACAGGAAAGAGTTAATTTAAAAAAAAAATAGTGTTCGTGATTCACAGGAGTTTCTATGATATGAATGTTAAACTCACCCGTCACTCTTGAGAGAAGCTGTTCAGTCCTCGCAGAAAGCAAACTGCAAATCTTAATCTTCCTTCCCTCCAAATTTTGAATTAGAGAAAAGAAAAAAAGAGCACGGCATTAAAAGCAGCCTTGACTGTTGCTCTGTTGCTGCTGTGGTCAAGTCCTGAAGGGAGCGTGTGTTTGCCTGAGTATGTGTACAGGGTCTGGGGAAGAGGTGGTAACTTCCTCTGAAAGTTGGAGACGGAGCGAGTAACAGAGTTCTCTCTCTCCCGGTTCCAATCTACAAGCAGGAAAAGCTGTCACACTATCCCTCTTTCAGATGAAAAAAAGAAAGAAAGAGGAACAGCCAAAAAAGGGCAAGCTCCAAGAAGAGGGGAGGGAGGAAAGCTGTGGTGTGTGTAGTGTGGTGAGGGTGTGTAGGAGCACTGGAGAGCGGGGGTTCCCTCTGTTGTTGAGAAAACAGGCAAAACGCAACTCCAGGAATATTAGCGCAAGTTTTTCCATGCAGTTTGACAAGAAACGAAACAATATGTTACATGGTGTAAGAACTGCTGTTTTGTGGCTTTGCACTTTTTCACCCACGCATCTAAACGTTTAATGGGTGTTGTGAATAGCTTCAGGAAAATGCTGGATTACAAATCCTAGTCTTCTTTCCCTCCAAGCTACTTTTTTAAAAGAACATTTTCTTTTATGAGGAAGAGATCAGTTCTGCTCTCAAGTGTGTTGATAGAAAACTTTGTGCAGGCCGCCGGTTTGTTTTGTGTAGTTTAAAGACTGTAAGGCAGGGAACAGCAGCTACCTAGATCTGTCACGTCTGAGTAATCTGCTTAATAACTGACATTTGAAAATGTCAAGTTGCATTGCTATGGAGAGAATACATGCTGAAATTGTTTGTTGTGGTGAATTCTAGTTCTCAGTGTATGCCTCTCAATCTCAAGAGAATAACCAAGAATACACAACATGCAATTTTTGTGCTCTAATCTTTGCACATATTAAATAAAACATCTTAATTAGTAACCTTTAGAGATGTTAGCAGACAGACCCAGGATTCCTAATTCCCCTTGTTTATACTGTTAATGCTCATAAAACCTGTAGCTTAATTATATTTAATGCATATATGCGAATGCCCTTGATCTTCTATACTAAATAGAAAGTAAGTGCATCTTTCAGAATGTTAAAATCTACTTTGAAAATAAAGTTTTAAATAACTTTACATTAATTCTATCCCAGGCTTGTATGGCTGGTACATGCAGCTTAAGTAAAGTAAGCTAAAGCTTCCATTGGCTTTATTTTGACAAAAACTGATGTGGCTCAGTGTACCTACGATGCAATGACAAAGCTTAATGTTGATTTATAATTCAAAATGTGTGTTTTTGATGAGTATTTGTAACTTAAAGGAGTCGTGTTACGAGATAGTGCGACTGGTAACAGCACTGGTAAAAGCAGCCTCACACAAAACATAGTAAACATGTAATCCCAATAATATGTCAACTGCTACGCTGAAGGAGTTGACATACTAATTGAGAACAGCTGCAAGATACATGAAAAAGTATCTTGCATCAGGAATTGACCGCACCACTGAGTTAACACTGGTAATAATAATGTTTTTCTCATGTTTGATTGCTGCATATCATGAACAGTATTTTTGTATTCTCAGCATGCACCGACCTTTGTTTGTCATATTTTGCAAGCAGTTTAACTACCAGCATTTTTAACCAAGCTCTGGGTTTGCCAGGTTTATTGAAGCCATATGATTGCGGGGGCAATGTGACATTTTTCATTAGTTTTGCCCATAGTCTTCATGGGAAAATAAGGAAGAAAAGCTGAGAAGAGTGAAATCAAGTGTTCATTTTATCCTTCCAGAGGGTCAGTGTCAGAGCTGAGCTGTTATTGTGCTACACCCTTCTGGGACTTGAAAGAACATCCTGGTCTAGATCCCACATATTTCGCTCGTTAACCCACGTAGTTTGGAGGCTCCAAAATCTAAGCATGCACTCACTTCACTTGAAACTGCATTTAATTTTGCACCCACTGGTCTTTCAGGATCATCGTTCCAAATCAAACATCCTCCCACCACCACTTTCTCAAGTTACTGCTTCCCCCTTTGTCTTTGGATGCAAGCAAAACAAAAAGAAAGTGGAAGGCATCTCTCCAAAAATCCACCCAGTCGTCTGCATCGATGAAGGAGGTGCTGAAGGAGAACCTGTAGCACCTTTAGTGGAAAAGCCGAGTTCCTTTACGCCAGAATTTGAATGCTTCTCTTTGCTGCATCAGCTATCACATTCCTGCCTGAATCTCCTCATAACTGGCAGATGTCCACCTGTCCCTGGGGCTGATTTACACGCCAGTACTGGGTTAGTCTGAGGAGGTTGGGTATGTTAAGGGTAGGAGACTGGGGATAAAAACAGGAAGAAACAGAAGAAGAGGAGGAGGTGAAAATGACTTAAAGATAATGAGAGCAGTCTAATTACAGAGCACGTATGGCTTTAAGACAGACTTTTCCTGGATCATGTCAGACAAACCCAAACCTTCCCGTGTGGTGCTCAATATAAATATAAATTCACAGCATTTTTGGAGATGGAAACGGTGATGGGGGAAGGGAGTGTGACTAATGATTGGCAAAGGTCTGTCTGCAGGTAGGGAAGAATGAAACATAAAGTGTGTAAAGACTGTAGTGGTGGTGGTGGGGAGAGTTAAACAAGATAGCACTTGCTCACAAAGCTAACTGCCAGGATCAGGTGAGGCTGTGTGTTCGAGGCAGGTTTCATAGTAACAAAAGCTAACTACAGTATTTAACCTAGATTAATATTTGCAGTACATTTCGTGAGAGAGCAGCCACACCCACTCATTTTCCAAAGGTTGCCATGCACAGCCTTTGTTGGGGATCTGCACCGCAGCGAGGCAGCGTGAATGAACAGTAGATGGAAACCTCTGATGAAAGGCTTGGATTCGGGTGGCTGAAACCACAGTAGAGCAAGCGGAATAAAGAGAAGAAGTGCTTAGGCTGTTTGCACTTCTGACATCCGCAATTTTCTTAAAATGTAAATGCAAAACAATCTGTTTAGGGAACGGCTGCGTTTTTTTTTCCCCTAGTAATGCAATAATGTGATTATAGTTATGAAAGAATAATAAACCTTTGTCTTCCTGTTAGAGAGAGGGGGAGAGAGATAGGGGGAGGAAAACACCACCCCTATGACTCAACAGCAAACTGAAATTAATATCCAGGGAGGGCGCCCTGAGAGAATTAGCATCATTCCTTCTTTAATCAAAAGCATACAATGACATAAAACTGCAAAGAAATATTGCAAAGAAGTAACACTGAAGCAACCATCAGCTTGAGTGAAGACAAAAGAGAAAAGAAACATTTTTAATGTATCCTCGAGTTTGTCAAGGTACAAACAACTTGCCCTTCACAAATGGCTCATTAATGCATTCGTGGATTACCTGGATTAACCTCATCAAGGTCTTTTTCAGGTGCTTTCTGCACTTTTTCCAGTGCGTGAAAGCACATGCTTGTCTTTTTGGCCTCTGTGCCCCCCATAAAAACCAATCACACTGGAGGCATCTGCTTGCAGTTGCTTCTTTATGGGACAGATGGGATCCTGAGAAGGCAGCTCCTGTGCACAGGGTTTGTTTTGTCACGAGCCTGATCTCTTTCCTGCTGTGATTTTCCACTCCCTGTTCATAAATAATAAATCACATGCACATACCTGGGCACATACACTAGAACACATGAATAGAGGTGTATAAGCACATATCGACGACTCAGTATTTCTCCACAATTACAAACAGATGGATTAGCTCTTAAGATGTATTAAATCTTACTGTTTTAACTCTGCAGATCATGCAGATATCTTTGGTCAGCAATGCTCTCAAGGAGGCTCACTGACACCAGAAAGTGGAACAGCCAAAATCTTCTGCGCATCTTTGGAAATGTTTCCACTATAACTGCAACTGTCAGGAGCCATTACTTTGTGGAATTTTACTGTTTTCAGCACATGTGTCTTCGGCCGTCTTTGTGGATATTTTTATGAAGTATTTTTACTGGAAGTACTTTAAACTATAGAAAGTCTTTCATTGGTGACAATCTGGTATGCAGATTATGTATATAATAGGTACACCTCTAAACAGGTATGCTGTTTTTTATTTTATTTTATTTTTTTATTGTTGTACAGTTCTTTTATTATAATAAGAAGACCATGCCAAGAAGACCATGACCTCACTTCCGGCACACCCATGGAGTGGTAAATAGAAAGGATATTAAGGAAGAGGTCTGTTTGGTATTAGGCTGGAAGCTGAGGACAGGAAATGATCCTGAGTTGTTCAGGCGCAGTCTATGCACATACTGCACACTGTTCCCAAGTTCCCAGTGCTCACGCTCACTCCTACGCAAGTCAATGGACACAGAAGGGTTGACAGGGGTTAAATGAGTGGGGAAGGAACACAAAGATTGCAAAAATTCAGGGGAGAGATTACATAAACATCTTAACATCTTGGCAACTTGACAGTTGCATAGTTTCCCTTTCTTCCTAAATCCCCTTCACTGTCTCTCTCTTTGTTTTACAGCAGTTAGTTCCCAAAATATGAAGATCTGCTTATCTTATTATGGTGAAGTTTGTGGAGCTTTTAAATAAAATACAAGACAAAATTAAAATAAGAAAATAAAGTAACAGGAGCTAAATTTCCTTCCAGAACAGAAAACATGTGTTTTCTTTGTCATGGCAGACTATTGGATTTCATAAGAAAAATAATAATCAATGCAAGTATGCAGTTCTTTGTGTGTGAAATTGATAATGTTGGAACCTAAACCTTTGCTAATATTATGCATCAGTCACTTTGCCATTTTACTTTTTCCATGCTAGCAGCAGTACTCCTGGGATACTAATGCTGTTTGTTAACCAGTTCAGATACTGGACAGAGAACAGATAGAAACATAAACACCTCTAAAACTTTCTCCGACGGTTTAGTTAGGAACAAAAACACATGCATGACAATGCACAATATTCCCCAGCTGATGAACCAGAATGCACTCTGTGTCAGTATCAAGCTCATGTTTGCCACACATGAGGCTGTGTGGGGAAAGGCAAATTCACATTCATCCTATGAGCACCAGGCAGCACACAGGGCCTAGAACAGTTTTGTCCTTTTGGGTACGTCATACCTTGGGTACTTCATATGGGTTTTCTGTGTGTGAAAACCCATATGAAGCCCATGAGGCCCATATGAGACTAACCCATTTGGGGTCCATGGCAGTTTTGCCCTTTTG